TATATATATATCAAATTTCATGCGATTTATCCATGTGCGGCGCCCAAGCAAAATAGGTGTCCTCCCTAGGTAATTTCGACATTCCGAACGCTCCGGTACAGTTTATTTCGCCGTCGGAGGATGCTTTGACGAATTCACCGATTTGCGTGCCAATTTTCTCGTGTCGAAAGTATGGCAATATGGGTGTCCTTTCCTACCAAAATTGGAATCCCGGTCGCGTTGGCGCAGTCCAATTTGTCGTCGGAGGTCATCCGGAGAAGTTCGCATTTTCACCCGTTCTTTGGGCTTAATTGAAGTCCGATTTCGCGCAATTTCGTGAATTTCGTGTATTTGATGTGTGTATGTGACGAAAAAGGTCGTGACGATGTTTTTCCTGAGGCTTGAAGTCCTATTTGGAACATCTTCCTTGAATCTTTGCAAAATAGCCCATAACCGCTCGTTCATAAAACGATGGTCTTGTGCCAAAGATGCTAGACATCAAAGGAAAATAGGAATCGGCTGGAGCTTCTAGAAGGGTGAGTCTCAACTCTAGTTTTCTAAGATGGTCCATAGGAATTTCTAGAGCTAGAACCTAGGCTCTAAGGAGGAGAGGAAAAGACCTCACAAAAATGAGGTCAACAGTGGTCCTCGCTATTGGTCTTATTCTAGCAGATAATAGACTATGGAAGCTCAAAAATAGTGAATTAAACGATTCAAATCACTCCCACGGAATCAGATACACCATCTTTTAAGATGGCAAATTAGTTTGACAACTTTGTTTTGACTCTCAATAGTTACAAAATATAATGGATTTCTCATAATTTGAAGAACTAAGATTATGCGCAATATGATATCAAGCAAAGGAAATTCATGATTCACGTATCCTCAGTTACTAACTAATTCAAATACTTACTTTCATTAAATGTAATCATGTAATATTATAATTATAATACAACTTGTAATAAAATGATCGAAATGAGTACAAAGAATCAAAAAACAATTAATTTCAATCCTCACTAATCAAATTTCTGATATGTCATCTTTTTATTAAAGTTAAAAGCACAAAACCAGTAAATATTAAATTTTGTAGATAAAATAGAATAAGGAATGAAAATATCAAAGCGAGAAAATTTACGCCTTATATAGGTACAAAGAGATGGCTTCTTTCAAAATCAAGTAGTTGCATTTGTACAATACTAAAAAAAATCACATATCTAACTTGCACTTAAGAGGTTGAAGCTAGAAAGTGGAATTTCATTCAAGTTCAAAGTTACAAACTACATTGATCTTAAAGATTGGGTGTGCATTGTTTAAATAAAATATAAAAGTTGAATCAAATTAATCTTATTTGGTTAATTTGGTTCAATTATTAATTGTCTGAGTCAGTTAATGACTGTAATTTAACTTTCTTTGGAATTTGAATTTTGGTTCAGCTTTTAAAATTTTTTAGACCAATCCAGCAAATTGAATTATCACAACAAAGCACGTGATCAACCAATAAATAGGTGAAAAAAATCAATGTATATTATTCATTCCACATACAAAAATTATGAATTTAAACAACAATTACCTCGTACTCTCTAAATACATAACAATTAAGCTAATAATTAGATTCAATTTAAAAATTAATTATACTTCAATTCATTCAGAAATGAGCTGAAAAAAAAAATTAGAGTTTTATTCAATTCCTTTCAGTTGGGAAAAAAAGTTCGATTCGTTCAAAATTTTAAAACAAAAAACGTGTTATTTTAGCTAATATGTTAGCACAAATCAAATACACAACCATACGTATAGAACCTCATCCCATAGGCTAGCCATTAGAATTAACTCAATTCAAATTTGTATTAATTCCAATTTTATTCAAGCCGCAAATTGTTACCCCACAAAAATCCATCCACAACCAAACACCCGTAAACCTTACTCTTGTTAGCGATATTTAGGCATGTCAAGTCAGATTCGCGGCCCGGATTCAGGCCAGACCCCAAAATTGAGCTAACCCGAAACTAATTGACCTGAACCCAATGTAAATTGACCGGGTTAGAAAGTTCAACCCGTACTTGACCCACCATTAACGTGCTAACCCAAACCCCCGTATAACCCTTTTAATGCAAGGCATATTAGAGGTTAAAATCCGATCAAGTTCACATCAGTTGTCGAATTCGAGTTAGCGAGATAGTTTCGGTTCAATTATTGGTTCGCGAATCAACTCAAATCTGATCAAAAAAATTAAACATGTTAGGAATCCTAACATGAACCTGACCCAAAAAATTATTGTGGTCAATCTGAAAATGAATTTTTCGACTCGGCTTCGAGTAAAGTTGGAGTGTCGTGTCAATTTTTTACACCCCTAGCCAGATTCCACAAAATCATAATCCCTAACACATATATACATACTAATGCCCATGCTCAGATATCAAATCACAACAATACAGGCTAAGCATAGCTTGCAGACACATTAACCATGTAAAATAGTAGAGAAAAAAATAAAAAAGTGACGCATGAGTTCAAAGGAAACAATACAAATTCCACCTCTACAGTGAACCCACAATAAGACAAGTCCAAGCCACCAGCCAAAGAATAAATTCAAACAAACACCGATGCCATATAAAAAACAATATCTATTGATTCCACCACACGCAATGAATTCTGGCATGCATAATGCCAAATTCCACACCCCAAGTAAACAACCAACCGTTGCAGAACCTAAATCACATCAACAACAACAACAACAATGCCTTAATCGCACTACGTGGGGTCGGCTACATGAATCCTTTTTCTCCACTGAGTCCTATTTAGTGCCATATTTTCATTTAGTTCTAATAAATTAAGATCATTTTTTATACAATAAGCTCAAGTCTTCATAGGTCTACCTATGCCTTTCTTAACATAAGTCGAATCTAAAACATCTACTCTCCTGATCGGATCATCAGATGGTAGACGTGTAATGTGACCAAACCATCTAAGACAACTCTCTAATTTTGTCTGTCACTGGAGCTACACCAACCCTATCACGGATATATTCATTTAGCATTTTGTCTTTAAGTGAAAAGCCACTCATCCATCTAAACATTCTCATCTCGGCAACACTTAACTTAGTATTATGCTTCTGTTTTAAAGGCCAACATTCAGCGCGATAAAGCATTACAGGTCTCACCACCCTCTTATAAAATTTTCCTTTTAGTCTATGCGGTACTTTTCTATCACACTAAAGGCCAGAAGCATTCCTCCATTTCAACCAACAAACTTGAATTCTACTATTAATATCCTCATCTATATCATCATCGCATTGAACAACAGACCCGAGATATCTAAATCGTTCACACCTTTTTAATAATTTGATCACCCAAAGTTACACTTCTGTCACTAGAGCTATGACTACTAAAATTACATTCCATATATTCAGTATTAGTTCTACTCAAATGAAGGCCTTTAGACTCCAATGTAGACCTCCATAATACAAGTTTTTCTTGGGCTTTTTCTCTCGTCTTATCCACGAGAAGGATATCATCAGCAAAAAACATACATCAAGGTACATCCCCCTGTAAATGTAGACCTTTAGACTCCAATGTAGACCTCCATAATTCAAGTTTTTCCTGGCTTTTTCTCTCGTCTTATCCACGAGAAGGATATCACAACCTAAATCACATCACAGATTAAAAACATTAGAAATCTTGAAAGCAGAATTTAGAAGTTGCTTGTTGTTATATTGAACACTGATTGCTCCATATAGCAAAAAGTTAATAATCCTAATTATGCCTCAAATCCTAATTGTGAATATGTGATATGATCAATCATTGTGAATACACTAAATAACCTATACTCTTTTATCACAACAAATCTCAAATCAGCTCTCCATAAGCATCCTACAATGCTTACAACATCTGGTATGTCTAGTTTCTTAATGTTTTAAGCCGTAAGAATTCCAAAGTTAATCATGAAAGTTCTTCTACATCACAATTTCAAACAGATAAAAATACCATATTTACCTCTTGAAGAAGGCACAAAGCACCAGACAACCAAATCCAAGGAATGCGTAAAGAAGATTTTGGTAGAATGTTTTCCTTTAAATTGCCAGCATATTCTGGTTCAAAAAGGAGCTTGTCTCTGATATCCATTAAAAGATGCTGGAAACACAAGTTAGGAGAATGTCAACATACCATTTTGTTTAAAATGTTCTCATGTGTTTGATCAACATAAAAATACACTAGATTGTCTGTCATACCTGCCGTGAAGTAATGGCATCTCCTGAGTAACCAGCCTCAATCTCCGAGCTTTTTAAATCCATCACAGCTTTCACAACCTCGTCCTTCTCAGCTTTCAGAGAAAGACCTAAAAGCTGCAAACATATCCAAAGGTTGCACCAAAATTAAGAAGAAATCCACATAAAAGTGTCGCGGAATAGTGAAAGCAACACGCATCCATTTATGACGTTCATCCGAACTTCCAACCCACAGCATTAGGATATAATCTGAAAGCTCAAACTCATTTGAGTTCATGGTTCGAGCAAATGAACAAATTCTAAGTTAAAACAGACCATGCAACTTGCCAAATAAAAAAAATATATGTACGAAAATCCACAACCTGATAACATGTGACTGGAATCTCAACCAGCCCTACGATCTGCCCATTCTCCACCTCCGTAACCTTCAATGTAGACCCTCCTCCGAAGTCCCTCCGACTCAGGCTAGCTCTCGCCTCCAGAGATAACCTCTTCGTTAACCCGGTTGCAGCTATGCGTCCTGAAAAATTTCGGCCACCTGAAAACTCGGACGGGGGAATAACCCTTCCTCTCTCTTCAACAGCCCCATTCACAGAGCAGCGAGAGTAAGGAGTCAAACTGAGCACCAAGTGAACCAATGCCATCACCAGAAACACAAACTAGTCAGCTGGTAGGCACGCAGTCAGCCAGATCTTCTTCATTTCGATGGAAAACAACGACTGGGTTGGATGTGAAGTGAGCAGACTGTAGGAAGATTACGAATGGAGATGTTGCTAGGGTTAGGGCGTCCGCTCTTTACTCTACTCTCGCAGTCATCGGATATCTCGAGCACGTGAAGAAATTGGGAAGCAAAAGCAGGGAATCGATTCCTCCATGCGAAGAAGTGAAACGCTGGAGGAGAAGGTTAATCCCCAAGAGAAAATTTACAAAAGTATTAATAAATAAATGGATGATTTACAACAATACCAGTCAATTCTCATATGTGTGTGTGTATATATATATATATATATATATATATATATTCTTCAAATCAAGTTTAAGCCATATTCAAATCATACTCAAATTTATTCAAATTTTGATTAAAATCATATTTAAAATTTGCTCCAATTAGTTGAGGAGTCATTTGAGCCATAAACAAATCATGTTGTAAATTTTTTTCAAATAATGTTCAAAGCATGTTCAATCTTTGTTTATAATTTGCTCGAAACCCTTTCAAACTATACTCAAATTTAAAACTTTGTTCGAGCAAAATTTGTAAGGATGTGTCATAAGCAATTTTTTGTCATTTGACACAAATCAAATAAATTTTCACCGATGAGCACTCAAACTCGGATTGAAAATTTTTAGTTCAAGTTAAGAAAGTGATTTTTTTGTGTGATATAGAAATTTTGGGTGATATAAATATATTAAACAAAATTTAGAAGTTAAGTATGTATATACCCATAAATTGAGTGATACTTGTATACGGGTATGTTTAGGGCAGTCATAGTTGTTTGACAGCTGTGTTATTTTAGAATGAACTATTTTTCAAAAAACTTATTATAAATTTATTTTATTTGCAAAAATATTGTCTGCACTTTTTGACATACTAGATTTCAACAGTTCGGCTAAGAAAAAATGATTTCTACCACATAAATTTCTAAAAGCAACAAGATAGCAGATATCTCAAACAGAACTATGAAGACGGTTTGAAAAAAGCAAAAGAGATCTAAAGCAGTCTTGAACATACCAAAAATATTCTAATAAAATAAATTAGATAGATATCACATAATTGCTATATAATTCATTATAAAAAAAGTTCATCAATTTTATTTAAAGAGTATGATTATTGTATAAAAAAATGCTCCAACGCGAATCTTAAAGCAAATGTGAGGCTCGAGAAAAAAAAAAGCGACCGATCGCATAACCGGTCGATCGTAACTATTAACAAACAATTGTAAGGGCCTACCGAATGATTTTGTCCCTCAAAACGACGATCGACTTTCTTCAAAACGGTCCTCAGATGATTCAACCCCGAATTGAGTATCAGCGAAGTAAAGGCGTGACAAACGATCGACGATATTTTAACCGTCATATTGCATTCAAATATTCTTGTAATAACTGAAAGACTCCTTTAAAAGGCTAATGATGAGGGAGTAATATGTAATTTAAAATAAGGATCATTTCCTATAAATAAGGGGAAACATTCTCTATTGTTCTCTATTGTATTCTCTTTATAGTGTGACGTTCAATATTTTGGGCATGCATCCCAGACACTTTTGAATTCAACTTTTCAATATGTCATATAATACATATAATTAATCAAATATTTTTAGAGTTTATTTATTTACTAAAAATATCTAAAATTTTATTTTGATTGAGATTATATAATAATATTAAAATTTAAGTCATAAATCTCAAATGAAGACAATTTTTCAAATAAAGAAGTTATTCGAACATCCATCGTTTTTAGATTTTTTTCCTTTTTTTGGGCAACCTTAATGCGAGCTTGATTGATCTTTAATAACGCTTGGCAGCAACAGCTCTATATTTCAAACATGTTTTGTTCAAATTTTAAAAATATTTTGGTTTTAAATCAGTCATTATAAAAAATAATAGGTTATAATTGAAAGAAGGATAGCAATTGTTGGATCCAGATTTGTCTGATAGACCGTACCCAAAGAATAGAGCATGACTGAGAAAAGAAGAATGTGTGTGTGTGTGTGTGTGTGTGAGAGAGAGAGAGAGAGAAGAGGAGAAGGATGACTTCTTCAAGTGGGAAAAATCGGGGTGTTCCCAGACTCTCCGACCCATTCTATTCATTGAAAAAATGAGGTTACAAGCGATGGGGGCCCAAAGATCTCGTTTACATCATGAAGTCCTTCTATTTATAGAAGATAGGAAGGATAAAAAAATGTATAAGATTACATATTCAATCTTGTCTTAAAGAAAAGAGCAAAGGGTATTATAATCCATTTTATCCTGGAACGTTAAATTGCCTCAAGATCCGTGCAAATCATTTTTTAGTATACATAATAAGTACTATAATTTTCTTTCTCCTTGATAATGACAGCTACAATAAGAACAATGAAATTTATAAATCAAATAAATCATGAACACATAATTTACTAACGATATCCTTTGTTAGCCGTTGCGCTAGGTTCTAGTATTTTTATCGTCATTTGCCGAGGCTTTCATTTCAGAGCTTTTCCTATCCAGGGAGATTGTCGGGTTCCGATGACCAGAGAAAAAATCGGTCATCAGAGGAAAGTTGACCACCAGAGAAAAAAAGTCTTAGAGTTGCTCGTATCGGAAGGGAATCTTGGAGATGCTCGCCCTGGAGGGAGGCTTATTGATGCTCCACCCAGAGGGGAGTCTTAGAGTTGCTCGCCCCGGATTGGACTCTTAGAGTTGCTCGCCCCAAAGGGAAGTGTTAAGGATGCTCGCCCTGAATGGGAGTCTTGGAGTTGCTCGCTCTGACAGGGGAGCCTTGGATTTGCTTGCCCTGGAGGGGAGTCTCAGAGATGTTCCCCCAATAAGGGGGAGTCTTGGGGATGCTCGCCCATGCTCTCCCCAAAGGAGAGTCTTAGAGTTGCTTGCTCTGGAAAGTAGTTTTAGAGTTGCTCGCCCAAGCTCCACACGCCCTACCATTAAATTTAACTAATTTTTAAATGACTTGAAGGCAAACTTGAGCACAAGACTGTTATATCAACCCTTGAATTAAAATTAATTTCAAGCATTGACCCATATAGAAAAAGAGTTATCATGTATTATCCATATGTTTAGTTGTTGGTTTCAGTTCGAAGAAACATGAAGAATTCAAAGATAGAATTCAAGGATCTAACTTATATACCAATGTCAAGTAATTCTTAAATTGGAAAAACATCCATAAAACCACTATCATATGTGGCCTACATGTCGAGAATATTATTTACTTCCACATGTGATATGTTCATTTCAACACCTACCATTGCATGATGGATGCTCACATCATTAGGAATTGACAGATCTCATATAACCCTCTTGTGCATAAAACTTCAGAGTTGAAATTTTCTAGAGAGCGATAGGCACTCATAATAAAGATTAGAATTGAATGGATTCATTTTAATCAATCTCAATTATTTTGTATGCAAGATTTATGAGATATTGAAGGTAAATATGACTTTGTTCGAGCAATCATTTGTTTCGTTCTTCAAATAAACAGCCCACCCACTTCATAAAATATAACAATGTAAAAACATGATTTGCCTATAACAAATAATTAAGCAATTTTGTCAAAGGAATTGAAACTGTATATGTTATTCTGCCAATGTGGTATGTTATCTCTAATTTCATGCTAAATTCATTTTAATCAATCTCTGTTACTTTATGATATAAAGGCTTGTTGTCATCGTCGTCGTCGCCTATTACTTTGTAACATAAGAATTATAAGATATTCAAGGGAAATACCTCTATGTACTTGCAATCATTGGTTTCATTTCTCAAATAAATATCTAGCCTATTTTACTATCTTCTTTTCATTCTCTTCCATAAAGTAAAAGACAATTGACTATTAGTTTGCCTTTAGCAAATAATTAATATATATAACTCCATGGTTGTAAAATATGTGTTCAAATATTTCTCGAATCATGATTGAACAAGATTTGATCATTTTTAAGCATGATTCGAACAATACTTAAACCATATTCAAATATAGTTTAAATGATCTTCAAATCATATTCAATATTTTGTTCAAAATGTTTGAATATAGCTCGCAGCATGAACGATTGATATGATTCGAATAAGATTTCAAACCATGTTCGATCATAATTCGAACAATGTTTGAACACATTCTAGTGATATTCTTTTTAGCATCACAATAGAGTTCCATCAAAGTAATATGACATATGATACATGATAAAAATAATAGAAAAAACCATATCAATATCCACGAATGAAGACATTTTGAACTTCACAGTCACGATCATCTTACCCTCATGAGGAAGAAAAAATATCAAATGAATGTATGATAATAGCAACAATGTAGAAAGCAGAAGTGTGAAAAGGCAGGATGCTCTTCTTCCTAAACAATAGAGATACAAGAATAAAAAAGGCATTTTGATCTTACACAGAATTTTCAGGCATATTTTTCAGAAAAACAAACAAACAGTGGACATATTTGATTTATTTTTGCTATCATAAAACATATAAAATCAAATTTAACAAAAAAAAAAAAGGAAACCCGATTTTTATTGCACTTGACTCATTTCATAAATTGCCAAGAACAAATTTCACAAGTTACTGTGAAGAAATATTACACTGAAAAGGCTTCAGGCAAAGGCAAGCTCTAAAACATGGCATACCAATATTTCTTAGCAAAATCTGAAGCTACAGTATGTGGAATCCAAGATTCCTGAAAGAATTGGTTTTTAAGTAACTTCAAACAACCTTTGTTGAACTCAACAAAGAATCCAAATACTCTTTTAGCTTAATCTTTGTAATTGCGCCCTCTCTTCGGCTTTCTGGAACCTCTTCGCCATTCTTAAAGAGAATCAAGGTTGGAAGGCCATAGACTTTGTACTCTTCAATTAACTTGGGATTTGCATCATGATCAATCTTGAAAACCTTTAATCTGCCATTGTATTCCTATAAAAACAAATATTCAGTAAAAATACTGTTAGCAGTGTGATTCAACTAAGGCTGTAACAACCGATGTTAAAAATGTTTGTTGTTCATGTTCAGTCATGTTTGGCTTGATAATTAGTTGATGTTTGACTATTTTTTATAAGCTTGTATATTTAGTGAGTCAAACATGAGCAAGGCTGTTTTAATTGTGTTTGGCGTAATATTATCTTCACTATGTTTATAAATATGTAAAAAATGTGTATGCACACATTAAGTAGCTCATGTTCGAATCGTTCGTTAAGTAAAACAGCCAAAAACAAACAAATATTTTAAGCTTGAATTATAATGCCAAACACGAACAATGTTTTGTTCGATCGTGTTCAACTCGTTTTAGCTCGAAATAAAAAAAAATAATATATATTATTTATATAATAATAAATTATATAGATTTATATCCAAGTTTAAATCATAGCAATTTGTGTTGTCATGTAGTTATGCGTTTTCTATTACACAAAATTGGTGTAGGCTCGAGTCCAACATCATACATCTATTTTTTCTAATTAATTTGAATGAGTCAATTTTGAACGAGCCGATCATGAGCAAAGTTTGAGCTCGCTCAAGCTTGGATCGTTTATAGCCCTATATATATATAGTGTGAATGTGTACTTGTATATATTTAGGTATATATGTGTACATATACATATAGAGATTGTGTATACTCATATTCATAAATTCATATTTGCATGAATACATGTACATATACTTGGTAACATATATTGTATAATTCACATATGATTTTCAAGTAGAATTCATGTTCGAGAACAACATATCCCTCGACTCGAATAGAATAAACTAAAAAAATATTAGAACTCAAATATAAGGTAGAGAGATTTTAAAATTAATTAAAAAAATCTCTCTTCCTTGTGATGATTAATTTCTTAATATATTTTCCATAATTTCTCATTCTTTCCATCATTTTATTACAATAGAATTGGAATATTTTCCTCCCCTTTATAAGAAATGATTTAACTTATAAGCTGACAAAAAAATCATAAAATATAGTTAAAATTCAATTAATAAGCAGGTTCAAGCTCAAACTGGGGAAGCTTAAGCTCGGCTTGACATGTTTACACTCCTAAGTATAAAAAACGTAAGCTAAAAGGAGAAATAAGGCTAAACTATGATTTAGCATTTAAATTGAATAAAGATGAAAAGTAAACTACAAGCCAGAGTTGTAGCAAAACAAGCCATTTTTGAGGCTCGGAACTATCTCAGCAACGATAAAGTGGTTCATGAACACACACTTGGAAATACTTCGGAAGAAAATATTAGACTTTATTTAGATGTTAAACAGCTCCTAAGCCCAGGGAAGGGCGCCTTGAGGGAACTTCTAGCTGATAAAAGAAAAGCCAGTAGAATAGTTTGAGATTTGTCAAATACCGCCTACTGATGGCAATGTTTTGGCCTTGAATTAATAATGAAGGAAGCATGGCTTAGAAGTTCAATGAAAGGCCAAAAGAAACTTGAGAGGCGCTTGATTGCAAAAATACATTTCTTATAAACAAGTAATTTATAAATTATAACTCCCCACATGTAAACTATTTGATAGAGATGAAGAAATTCACTCAACAAGATGCCACTTTGAACGGTTTGATTCTATGTAAATAAGGTATCATCAAAGGCTTAACTTTATTTTCCCGAGTTCTGATGGATGGTACAACTCAAACAACTTGCTATTACTTACAAAAAAAAAGGGGTTTTAACATACATACCACACAATTCTTATAAATTTACATATCTAACACCTCAAGTTTCATATTTACATGCATACAACTCAAATTTTAACATCATATCAAAAATATCATTATTGCTAAATTTTTAAAAGTGAAATACACATGTTCTTGCATAGATTTAAACATTATAGTGCTATAAATGTAAATATTAAACTTTAAGGGTTAAAAAAGTCAATAAATAAGAATTGTGTGGTATGTATGTAAAACTCCTTAAATAAAATGCTCCTTAAATTCATCTGAAAATTTTCGTTTGCCAATCTTTGTGATAGAGGGGTAAAATCTTTTTGTGCTTCTTATTCACAAGTGAACCTCTCAAATCAGAAGAACAAATGTGCAATCAAATACACATATAATCATAAAATATAGAAAAATACTTTAATAATTGATATTTTTCTATGCAAGCACTCTCTCTTAGGCTGGAGCATATATATCATTTATAGCTCCAATTTATTACAATTAAGAGAAAATTAGAGAACAAAGCATTTGGTAAACATCAATTATTCATTTAAACATGAGGGGTGACAATCTTTCTAGGAAACACACAACATTGTGAATAAAATAATGAACTCAATATGTTTGATTCTTTCACAGAACATGTGATTGCTTGCAATGTCGATGACGACACATTTAACACCATGCGAAAACATAGAATAAGTAGAAAATCAAACTTCACTAAAACTCTTTACCAACATCATTTCACATGCAAAATGAGCAACTATACATTTAGGATGAATGCTAGATTTTATCACAATAATTCATTTCTTACCTTTTCAAGTTAAGTAACTGTTGACCTCATTTTTGTGAGGTCTTTTCTTCTCCTCCTTAGAGCCTAGGTTCTAGCTCTAGAAATTCCTATGGACCATCTTAGAAAACTAGAATTGAGACTCACCCTTCTAGAAATTCCAGCCAATTCTTATTTTCCTTTGATGTCTAGCATCTTTGGCACAAGACCATCGTCTTATGAACGAGCGGTTATGGGCTAGATTCAAGGAAAATGTTCCAAATAGGACTTCAAGCCTTAGGAAAACATCGTCACGACCTTTTTCGTCACATACACACATCAAATACACGAAATTCACGAAACTGCACGAAATCAGACTTCAATTAAGCCCAAAGGACGGGTGAAAATGCGAAATTTTCCGGATGACCTCCGACGATAAAATGGACTGCACCAACGCGTCCGGAATACCCATTTTGGTAGGAAAAGACACCCATATTGCCATACTTTCGACATCAGCAAATTGACACGCAAATCGGTGAATTCGTCGAAATGACCTCTGACGGCAAAACAGACTGCACCGGCACGTCCAGAATGTCGAAATTACCTAGGGAGGACACCTATTTTGCTTGGGCGCCGCACATGGATAAATCGCATGAAATTTGATATATATATATATATACATA